GTCGTTCTCCGTGTGATGAATACTGCACAACAATAAACACTTGCCTGATATCTGATTTAAGGTTTTAATGCCTTTTGCACACAAACCCTGTGCAAGAAAAGACATGTAAGATAAGTTCGCTCTGCCTTGGACAACACATTTTAAGTAAAGAACAGTGACCCATTACAGACTGGAGGGATTATATATCTCCTCTGGCCTCAGAACACCCCAAGATACTGCAGGAGGGACAAGCGAAGGTTGCTGGGGAGCGGGACATCAGGCCTTCCTTGCTGTGACCTGACCCAGGATCATGGATAAATGGAACACTTACTAACACAGCATCTTACAGTCAATGCTTAGCATGCAGGCATCATTTTAGTCAACAGTCTGCAAACTAAATCTATTGCATTGGGAAACCGAGCAGTGTCTGATCCAATTTGCAGGCAAACTTCTTCTTACTGGCTCACCAGTTTAACATGTGGCCACAAATGGAGTGGACTCAGTTTGGGTGCTGGACCAGTGATTCCTGTGTAAAAACATTACCAAGACAGGGCCTGGATTTTACATCATCTTTTCTGTCGCCAGCAGTCAGATCCAGGGATGTGCTTTTAATATAAAAAACGATGTCTTACATAATCTAAGATTATACAGAGTAATTTCCAGAGCATTAACCATCTAATTACCTGAGGATCTAAGGCCTTGTTCATACCTGGCATTAACATTTGTCTCTAGAGCTGAACAGCTCTCACCACATCAGTTCAAACCTGGCATTAGAAGGTGTCTCCATGTGCGCCACGATTGATCACTTGTGATCGGATCTCACTTCCCGGTTCTATATGCAAATACACACATGCATGATTTCTGTTTGCAAAACAACAAATTATGTTGTTATAGCAAGTCAGATGAGTAAGTTGTCAATGTGTGTGGGTGGCAATCAGTGTTTATATTGAGGCAGTGGCCATAAATATATCAATGTATGGAAAACACGTTTCAAAAATATTTCCCCTTCATTATGAAACTGTAGCGGGTCAGAGGATGTCAGCTGAGTAGGCGGCCATCCTGGGCCACACTGAAGGACCGCAACGGAATGTGACCACATGCGTCCCAGACCACCTCAGATTACAGTCAGAGTGTGCGGACTTCAAATGGGTCTTCCATATGTTTTGGGTGCGTTCACACCTGCACACATAAGTTGTGATAGGATCACTCAAGATGGATGTCAATACCGGGTCTGAGGAGGAGGAGGTTCACTGCCAGAACCTACTACCCAGGCTACAATCGACAACATTGTTCAGCTGGACAACAAACATGAAAATAATTATTCATTACAAAGCTACTTTTAAATGATTTTGTCTTAGTCTTGGTTCTGGTAATTACTTTGCAGCAGGTTTACACTGATAGACTCTCTTTTTTAGGTCAAATAAACATCTCATAACTATCTATTCAAAAGAGAAAACTAGGGGGGGGGCTGCTACTATCCCTGCCTTAAATAGTGAGGGGGGGGTCTGATATTGTAATGCAAATGTCACTGCCTTGTCTGTTGTTTGTGGCAGGAAATTTAATTAGCAGTTGTGTAGCTATGATACAAACAGGTGGAATGCTAAGAATGCTCCCGATGACACATGCACAGACAGCAGAGACAGACAGAAAAACATTTCATTTCGCGAGTTTCAACTTGTTGCCATCGCGCGAGGGCCAATCAGTGGACACATTTTTTTGGTGTGTGACAAGATTTGTTTCTTTGTATCCTAGCAGCCTAAGCCTACAATGATTTCCAAAATGTTTGTAGCTGGAAGACTTGATGTGAGAGTCAGGAGGACACTTAAACTGTTTTCCTTTCAACAGATTCTGACAAAACTATTACAGCAGGCCACTTAAGAAGAAAAGCTATTAACAAATAAATTAAATATGGAGATTGCGAAACTCGACACATTTCACTGGTACAAATGGCACTATTAAATTCCACTTAACAAGCCCCACAAGGCGTTCTCCTCTCAGTTCTGCTTTGCTCTGTGATTTCCTGACATGCTTTTGACTGGAGTTGGGGGATAACCCATTAAAATTGTGTTAATATCAGACAGTGACATTAGCACAAAAACCCAAGCACAGCAGGAGGCATATGCAACTCTGTGAATATGACAAACTGTAAACAGCAGAGACAAAGGTGGTGGCAGTGACTAGGTCCATGTCTATATCTGTTGCCTGCTATTGAATTGAGTACTTCTCCCCGGGGCAGCAGTCGGCCTCATCAAGATAAGCTAAATACAGCATGAGCAAACACACATACGTGAGCCCATCCGCCGAGCACACTCGTGTATGCACACACACACACACTCTCTCTCTCCACATACACACAGGACATGTGACCAAAAGCTGTGTCAGATCACCCGCTGCCCTGGAGACCATTGCAGCTGTCCTATTGGTAGCTGAACTGTACCACACACACGGGCACATTTAACACTCAAAATGGCACACATATAAGGGTGGACACTATTTACAACATGCAAACCATTCCAGAGATCGCATAAAATAAAGTTAGAGGAGGGGAGGCTTGAGAAAGGATATTTTTCTGTTAATCACAGGCCACTCTTTGCTGAAATGGACGAAAGTATGACCACAACCAGAGGCTGCAGGCCATGCTAATAAAAAACAAGCATGGTCACTGAAATTGTGGATACAGACTGAAAAGTCACCTGAAGTGCAAAATAATAATCTGACATCGACTTTTAGAAGGACAGTACACCTAATTATTTTCTCTACTTTTCAAGCCAGTAAGAAATGTATAAATAACTTTCTAACCACCAGTTGCTTTGCACTGTAATTCTCCTTTTCAATGCACCTTTTCCTCTGTGACCTGCCTCTGCAAGCCAAAGCTATGCACTCTCGCCACAAAGAGGGAGATGAAAATAACCTGATTAAAAACACTGACTTTTAAAAAGAATAACATTTCGCCCCCCTGGCTCACTCACTCCATCCCTTTTTCTTTCCATGACTTGGGCGTATTTGTATATCAAGTTGCCATGTAAACATAACAGTGTCATGCTCAAATTGGGGGGTGGGGTTGGTGGGGGTTACACACAAGAGTTTCGGCACAGTCATCTCTTTATTTTTTCTTTGTAGCAGCGGAGAGCTGTCTGACCAGTCACAGTCAAGTTTCTCTCTCTCTGACACTTCATAACAGGTCATGTTTTTTGTCAATGCACATGGCCACAGGAGTAAAAACCATGTGTGAAGTAAACCTTCATGAACATTGACTTTTAACATATAATACAGCCTACATATTAATTAATAAAACCACACTCAGGTCTACCTTTGGACCCCTTTTCACTTAAAAAGGAAATAGATATTGGGCTGCATCAATAATACATCACCTTAAATGAATCATTCTCTTCCTTATGAAGATTACTACTTTATGTAAATACACATTTGAAAGTTTAAAGATCAATTCATTAGTAGCGAGACTAGAGGAGCATTAATTAGAGAATTTTTCATGCTGCAGAGATTCTGATGGTTCAATAGCAAACATCTCAAATGACCGAGCACCTGACAGCTGTCTCTGAAAAGATACTTCATTAGAATTAATGCATCTCGAGGGAGACAAAAAGAGCAAGGAATCCCAGAAGGAGGAAAAGTATGCAAAGAGATGGAGAGCAGCCAAAGCCACACTGTAAAACTAATGAAAGCGGGAACTTAAAATCATGGCGGGGTAGGGGGGGTTTACTTTGCCTTGGTTTCTCATTATTGATGTGGCGTAGATTGATAAGAGCATTAAACTCTGCAGGTGAAACAGAGAAACCCAATGAGACCTGCAGCTTGAACAATGAAGCCATTAGGCTGTTTGCAAACAATTCGCTTTCAACAGGAACAGCATCGGTTTAACTTGGAGGAGCTAAATGACTTGTGATGACACGAGTCTCATTAATTCTCTCTGCTTTGTGTGAAGTGCAGCGGTGTGTGTTATCTGACGCCTGCTTTTAAAGCCCATATGAAAACAGCACTTAAACTCTTCATCTCTCGTCCAAGACTGTGCAAGCAAAGTATAAAAGAGCCATCATAGCACCACCTAGCTGTAGCATACCAAGTTATTAAAGTTGTTTTTAATATTATAGAACTTCTTCACTCTGTAAAGCACCTCGTGTGCTAACATCAAATAGTCCATGTTGTAAAATGTGACTAACAGAAGTGGAGCTCATTTGACAGATCAATACACTTCTGGGATAGATGCATCGGGTTTGATAACGTTAGTGTCGCAACGTAAGTTCACAGGTTCGATTTCGGCTGTGTAACATTTTTGCCAATTCCTTTATTCTTTTCACGAGCGAGGTGTAAAAGTGAAAACCAGCACAACCGAGCTGAAAGGAAAGTTGTCCCCCCCGGGTATCAGTCCTGCCTGCCGCGGACGTTTGTTGCCGTTTTGAGCCCCACAACCGCCGCTGCTAACACCAGCTAGCCTCCTTTTACCACCTGCTTCAATGTGCGGTTCCTGGTGGAGAGAGACGGCCGAGGAAGAAGGTGAAGTTTGTCCGGGTACAGACCGACAACACCGAGCTGCCGTTAACGACAACAACAACAACACCACCAACAAACTCCAGCGACCGAACTCTCGCTCGGTCTCTAACGGGTGTCTCGGTTAGCATTAGCCGTAGCTCGCCAGTTAGCCTGAGCGTCCACCTCAGCTGCTGGGACTGAGCCGGAGGTGCGTTCACGTCTCGACGCCGCACACAACACGGCAGCAAGTGCAGAAAATGACGCGGTCGCATCGGACGCTGTTTAGCACGAAGAAGMAAAAAAAAAAAACCAACAACAAGCTGAAGTGAAATAGGTAAAAGCTGCACGAGGTGGACGTTAATTCAAGAACAGTGGAAAGGCATTGTCAACTTGGGGCGGACGCTGCAAACAGGGGAAAGTTGTGTTGTGGAAAAGAAGCACGGCTGTTAGCAACAGGCTCCCGGAGCTTCCCTCTCCCTCTCCCCGCAGACTGAGGCGAGCTGAGGCTGCAGATCGTGTAAAGATATATTCACCTTCGTGTTGAGAAAACTTCTGCTCGGCTCTTTCTCCTCCACTCGCTCGCTGACTTCCAGATGCTGCTGCCGCTGTTGCTGAGTGTTGCGCCCGTTGGTAAGTAACTGTCTCCACGGCTACAGTCACTATGGCGCGACGGGGTCTCGAGGCAACTGTTGCTACCCTCGACTGGCGACGTCAGGGCCCTCACTACGCGGGGGAGGGGCCGAAGCAGCAAAGAACCCCGCCCAATTTCCGCTCAGCTGTGACTTTGATCTGAACCACCAGGAGGCGCTCTTAGCCAGGAAAGCATTCACCCACATGCTGGGTCTCTTTCTTTTGAATGAGCCCATCTATTTACATCAATTAAATACATTATTAGTAGTACTAATACTAGCAACAGCAGCAGCAGCAGCAGTAGTAAAAGTAGTATTAGTAGCAGTAGTAGCAGTAGTAGTAGAATTAGTAGAAGTAGCAGCAGTAGTAGTAGTATTAGTAGCAGTAGTAGTAGCACTAGTAGTATTAGTAGCAGTAGTAGCAGCAGTAGTAGTATTAGTAGCAGTAGTAGTA